TTTTTTGCGCTATAAAAAAAAAAGGCTGACAATTTTGAGGGAAAAAAAACAATATTTTGGACTTTTTACTATAAAACATTTCCAGTAAAAAAAAAATGCAAAAATCAAATTTAGTCATAAATTTCTGCCAAAATGCATTCTGCGACATGTCTTTGCTAAAAAAAAAAAAATAACAATATGCGTAAATTAAATGGTTTACGTGAAAGTTATAGCATTTACAAATGGCGGAAAAGATACTGGGATTTTTAGTTTTTTTTTTTTATACTAATAATGGCGGCGATCAGCGAATTATGGCGGCGATCAGGGACTTATGGCAGCGACCAGCGACTTATGGCAGGACTGCGGGACTGCGGTGGACATTCTGACATTGGGGGGTACTGACTTGGGGTCACTGACATCCCCACAAACACTAATACAGTGATCAGTGCAAAAAAAAAACACTGACACTGTACTAATGGCACTGGGGAGGAAGGGGTTAACTTTATTTTGCAGGGAAGGGTTATCTGTGTGACGGGGAGTGTTTTACTAGGGGGGGGGGTGTGTGCTGCACGGGACACTGCTGATTGAGAGAGAGAAACTCTTCTTTCTGGATCAGCTCGTACTCGAGCTGTCAGGGAAGTGACAGACAGCACAGCTACTGCAGCTGTGCTCTCTGTCACTGTTTGCTGCCGATCGTCGGGAAACAGCCGGTAAGGACCGGCTGTGACCCGGCGACTGAAATCTGCGGTGGTGATCGGCGGGACAGATAGGGCGGCGGCGCACCTCGCGCGCGCGCCCCCTGTTTACAAAACACGTTTTAAAAAACCGTGGTTTTGCCTGCCCGTGCCGCCATATTTCTACAGTGGCAGGGCGGCAAGGGGTTAACATAAAAACACTGTTCCTCTTGATATCTCCACAAAGCCCAATCCTCAGGTTCCCAGATCCAGATATAACATAATGGAAGCAAGAAATGGGCCAATACTGTAGATCGCTACTTCAGTTTCATTAGGAAGTTAAAATAACATTCATATTTCAAAAGAAACAATAGGCATATCTCATAGTACTACCATAGCACTACCAAACATTGTGTCCTGACCCTACCCAGCATGATGACACCACTGCCCACCTGACATGGTGTGACCAGATAGGCTTGCTCAAAGGCTCCTAAAAGCTCCAGGCTCCTAACTTCACCACACCTTTCACTTCTGCTTCTACCTCATTCTTTAAAATCTAAAGCCCCAATATGACTTAAATATATATTCTCAGGGATGCTCACCCTTATTGTTTACTATTCTAGATCCAATCTATGATGTATTATGCCATTGTAACTCAATGCCCTGTGTATATTGTATTGCTTGTTGTTTTGCACTACTGTTATTGCATAGAAGCTCTGGCTAGTTTTGGGGAAGTTGCCCACCAATGGAATGGATGGATTACTATGCTGCTTTTATTGTTATTGATGCAATGTTGGAAGCTATGAATCTTGTGCCTTAGTCTTTGTATCTTTTAAAACATTTTTAACATGAAAGATTTATGGTAAAAAAAGAAAATCTAGCATACTTCTAACTCATAGTCAAGGTGTTCAAAAATTAAAAAAAACTAAATTTAAAGCTTCACTTTAGGTCCCCTTACTCTTAAATTTTGGTGTGTTACATTACAACATGCATATTGACGCCCATATACTGCAATGTACTAGAATGTGAAAAAACTGCCTTTATACTTTTTTTCTGATGCAGCGAACAACAACGAATGGTAGTGCATAGCAGTATACTGCAACTCAGAATGGCAAAGAAACACACTAACGCAGATGTATGTTGCCATGCTTTGCAATAACAATTGCATTATCATAATGTACGGGTGTGAAGGGGCATTTAAGCTACAATAAATGATGTAGATTTTTTTTTTTTATGTTTACACTATTTATCTGTGACAAGATTTTTCACTCATTGATTTTATATCTCTTTTTTTCCTCTTACTGCACATGTTCCTTTTCATTGTTCTGACAAATCCAGCTAAATGATTTTGAAATGTGGGAAAATTGTGAACTGAATTGTCATTTTTTTTCCTAAATTACAAAAAAAATCCTTGTTAATCTGATAATTATCCATTAGCTTGCTATATCATGACATATTTTTAAGACTTGCTTTTCCTTAACCTAGTGCGCCAATCTTCACACAACTGTTATCTAATGGCAAGAAAAAATCCAGGCAAAATGTGTTCTTCCTTTCCAGCTAAAAACAAAGAATATTTTTATTCTTACCGTTTAAAGTGTAAGTTCAGCTCTAGAACATAGTTTGCTTTGTTGTAGAGCTGAACTTACACTTTAAGCGGTAAGAATAAAAATGCTGACCCAATTGGGCATAGCAGCATAAGTTGCTAAACCTACCTACCAGCCAGGGACCCTTTTCTGTTTAAATTTTTCATTCATTTTTATTGAATCTTCAGAATTAGAAAAGTAAACAACTTTGTCTCAGTTGACAAACCAAGATACATATCAATTTCTCAGATGTTATTATAACATATCGGCATTTCAACAAATTGTGATTAGCAGTGTTGTACTCTCATAACAAGGTTAATATGGATACAACCTTATTATTATTATTATTATACAGGATTTATATAGCGCCAATAATTTGCTCAGCGCTGTACATTATAATGAGAGACAGTACATGAGACAGTACAGTAACAACACGATTCAATACACGAGGGGATCGAGGGCCCTGCTCCCTGGAGCTTACAATCTAGGAGGGAGGGGATAGTGGTACAGGAGGAAATAGCTGTGGGGGATGGAGTGGTAGGAAGAGTGGAGGAGTTCAGTAATTAGCTGAGGGCGGGGTAGGCTACCCCTGAAGAGATAGGTTTTCAGGGTGTGCCTAAAGGTGATAGTCTGAAGGATTGGGGTAGGGAGTTCCAGAGGATGGGGGAAGCCCTGGAGAAGTCCTGGAGATGGGCATGGGAGGAGGAGACCAGGGAGCTAGAGAGTAGGAGGTCTTGTGAGGAGCGGAGAGTACGTTTTGGGTGGTATTTGGATACCAGATCAGTGATGTAGTTTGGGGCAGTATTATGAACAGCTTTATACGTCAATGTTAGCATTTAGAATTTATCCGTTGGGCAATCGGAAGCCAGAGGGGGGATTGGCAGAGGGGGGAGGCGGATATGGAGCGGTTGGTAAGGTGGATGAGTCTGGCCGCAGCATTCAAGATAGACTGAAGTGGGGATAGCCTGCAGTGAAGTAAGCCGATGAGGAGGGAGTTACAGTAGTCAAGGCATGAAATAATAAGGGAGTGAATGAGTTGCTTAGTGGTTTCCGGGGTTAGGAACGGACATATTTTGGAGATGTTGCAGAGGTGAAGTCTACATAAGTTTGTCAGTGATTGGATCTGGGGCTGGGAGGACAGATTGGAGTCAAGGATGACACCTAGTACTCTGGTTTGAGGGGTGGGACTAATGGTGGTGTTGTTGGTCTTGATGGAGAAGTCGGAGGGGGGGGGGGGGCCGGCGCGGGTTGGGGGGAAAACTAGGAGCTCAGTTTTGGAAAGATTTAGTTTGAGGAAGTGAAGTGACATCCAATCCGATATCTCAGTAGGCTTGTGATACGGACCTTAGATTATCAACAAGAGAAAAAGGAACGTCCACAGGATATGGGACGACAGTAGGACTGGAAAATACACAGAGAATCTATAGCTAGAAACAGAAAGAAAACACAGAAAGTAAAGTAGAAAGAAAATGCACCAAACTTTATTAAGGAATATGTATATTGTACCGAGATGACCAGGCTTCCCACTTCTGCCTTTGTTTTAGGTTAGCATTTCTATTGGGAGCTAGGAGGACTTAAAAAGTGTAATGATCTTGAACCCTTTTGATTATATCCAACAACTTGCGCAATTCATCAGTTTAGTGATGTTGATTCTGGCTGCTAACAGTATGTCTGTGACTACCTTTTCAGTCCACAACCACATTTAGAAGCTTCTTCAAATCCTCTGCAGCCAGTGATGTTCTCATTTATTGTAGGGATGGAGCAGCTGTTGGGACCAGCACCCCTACTGCCATGGGAGGAAGCTCCAACCTTTTCTTTTGGGCTGTACAACGTGTACTCTCTACTGTCTCAGCATAGGTGACAAGAGAGAGTAAGCACTGTGTGTGCGTGTGGCCCAAAAGAACAGGACAGCTCTCCGCTGAGTTTTCTTTTTTCTTTTTTACTATAGAAAGGATAGGGCTAAGATAGGAGAAAAGGGGAGTGAAAGGGTTAAAACAATCCCACAACCTTGGTATCCACTAATATTTTGATCTGAAATGAATGAATAAATAATTAATTAGTTCCCCCTTCTTCCTCCTCTTCCTCCATTGTAAGAATAAAGGTAGTGTTCTGTAATGTAAACACTATACTGTTTACATTTAGTAACACTGTGATTGGTCATCACACTGATAACATAGTACAGAGCTGTTCAGATCAGCTCAGTATACTGACTGTGTCTGTGAACCAAGCTCATCTCACAGCCATTAATGGGTGTACTGGCTGCCTGGGGGTGATTTCGGCAGCACCATTTTCAAACAGTGGTTAAAGGAAATTTAGAAATATAGGAATCTTTATTGCTTACCTTAATCTGAAAATGCTAGTTGCCTGGCTGTCCCTGGCTTCTATACTTTGAGATATTTTGAAATACTAACCAAGTGAAAGCATCCAAATAAAAAAAAGAGTATAGTAACAGATATTTATTTAAATACCTTTGTAATCTGGTTTCTTAGAAAGAACTGAAATAATTTTGTCATGATGTCAACCAATTAACTAGTGTTTGTCATTCTTAATATCATTGGCAAATGAAGTGCTTCTCTCTATGTGTGCATATTACTGACCAACAATTTGGATCAGCAATCATGCATACTCCCAGTCCCCAACACTCAATCCCATGGTGAGTAATGCATGTAACCAATCAAATCTCACTATGCCCATACTGATGCATGTGCCACAATGCTTAGTGTCCAAAGTCCTGTTACTCTCTGAGAATTTTCACAGTTAGCTAACATCCCTCCAGGGGCGGACTGGCTATTTGGAAACTCAGGCACTGCCCGAGGGCCCGGGATCAGTAGGGGGTCCCATGAGATGCCCCTGTTACATTTTCATAGGCTTTTTTGAGTTTGGGCAAGGACACAGGGGCCCCATGATCCCCTATTGCCCGGGGGCCCCATGAGTTGTCAGTCCGCCCTTGCATCCCTCTGTAGGTGTATTAGTAAAATCCATGTGGTAGATAAATATCCACAAATGAATATAAAGTGCCAAGGGCACATGTATACTGGGCAGTGGTGCATTTAGGTTTTGTGCTGCTCTAGGCAACACAACCCTCCCACCCTCATGGAGAGAGCCTGACACCACCCCACCTTCCCCCCCTGACAGCGACCAACACATACAATTTCCTACCCCTTGGCTAAGGGAGCATTCCACTACCACTGCTCCCCATATACCAGACACCTCCCCCCTCCCAGCGAGAGAGAGAAAAACACTCACCTTCACAGCTTTAGACATCCCCGGGAACAAGAGTCAGACCCATCTGGTCCCCATGCCGCGTGTGTCCCTTCTTCCAGGGGGTGGTGCCACCCCCCAACCCTGAAAAATGCCACCATTTGCAAATGCCTTGTTTGCCTTGTGGTAAATATGCCACTGATACTGGGGGATCCTCTTGTTAACATGCCACATAATCCATATCTTTGAAGTTTTGCTACTGCACTGCGTCTCTCAATAAGTTTATGTATGTATTGAATTAGAAACACATTTGGGTTGATTTAATAAAGGCAAATAGGCTGTGCACTGCAAGAAGAACATGCAAGGGAAATAAAAAACACAGCATTTTTGCTTGCACATAATTGGATGAAAGAAATCAGCAGAGCTTCGTCTCATTTTAGAGCTTCCCTTCGGATCTAAAGCAACTGTACTTGCGGTGCACAGTATATTTACCTTTAGTAAATTAACCCCACTGTATAACCCCTGGCTACCTATCATTATAAGGCAATTACAAGGCAATCAAATTCTTAAGTGCATGTAAAGAAAAAATGTTTTTCTAGTGGTAAATAGAGCAGGGAAATGTTTACTCACTCCCTCTTCTAGATAAACAATAGAAAATAAGAGGAAATCTCTCCAATGTCTCTCATTTTAAAGGATAAGTTCACCTTTTCACCAAAAATAACAATTGCATATTTTTTGCAGGTAAAAAAAATGTGAATTAATTATTTTTGGTTGTAAGAGCCTGTGAAGCATTGCACCAGTGATCAGCAGATCACTGGTGCTATGCAGGTCTCCTGCAGACCTGTCAGTATATCTGTTTGCTTGTACAGGATGAATGGGCAAACAAATATACTGACAGGGAGAATTAATGAACTACCATGGTGCTCCACAGTGCCTTGGTAGTGAACTGAGAACTACAAGCCGACAGCTGCTAAGGCTGTTGGGACTTGTAGTTCAGTTATTCACAGAAAGCTGAGAATGAATGATGCGGCCATGTTGGTAGAGCCCCATATGGCTGTGCTGTTTTTAAAAAGTGACAGCTAGTACGAGAAACTTCTCCGTACTTCTGTCACAGGGAGTGGGGGCGGCAGGCAGCTGCTGCAGCATGAAGAACATGTAACAGGTGGAACATGTAACATGTTCCCAAAGGTGAAAGCATTGTCATGGGAACACATGTCTCAAATAAAGGGTTTTGCATCACTGCTTGCTCTGACGGCAACACTAAAATTTTGGATTCCCATCACTTTCTTCCAGAGGGACAATAGCCAATAGAACAAATACAGGGGTGAATCTCCCCACAGACTGCAATGAAAAACCTTACAAGGGGGTCTGTCCATACTTCATCCAAAACTAAAACAAAACAAAAATTAAAAAGATGCCTGCACACACACTTTTTAATGACAGTGGATAGACCTATGACAATAAAGGTCATAATTGCAAATGATCCGGTCTAGATAGCACCTTTTTTTTTGCTTAGGATTCTAGAAATCTGTTAACTTCAAAAAGAGAGATAGGGCGCTCTAGTAGTTAAAGTCACTCGTTGGACATTGTGTCATTGTATGCCAGAACTGTGAATCATGGACAAAAAAAATGTGTTTTTCACAGCCATGGCTTTATTATGCATGTAAGATTGACAGATTGACCCATTTTTCTGCTTTAAAAATAAAAGTTTCTTTTCATACAGCTATTGTAATATAAATAGAATGCACTAAAATAAGCTGCCAGCATAAATGTAGCGTACACCAAAAAAATCAATAAAGCATTAATAATGCTTCTTCTAAAAGGGAAAGTATGATATATTCTTAGAAAGTTCACATTTTGTCTTTTTTGTGCACTGTTTACCTTGGAGTGGGCAGCATGGTGGCTTAGTGATTAGCACTTATGCCTTTCAGCACTAGAGATCTTGGCTCAAATTCCTTTGAGGACACTATCTGCATGGAGCTTGCATGTTGTGCTTGTGTGGATTTCCTTTGGGTACTCTGGTTCCCTTCCAAGTTCCAAAGACATGCTGGTAGGTTAATTGGCTCCTGTCTAAACTGGCCCTCATGTGAGGTAGAGACTTTAGATTATAAACTGATGTGAATGTACAATAAATGTAAAGCACTGTGTAAATTGTTGTTGTCATTACGTAATGCCTACATTAAATACAAGGAAACCTCTACTAATTCATAGAAAAGCAATCAATTCACTTCATGGCCATTATCACTAATTTCTATGTGGAAATGGAAAACTGAACATTCTCTGTGTATCTGACTTGACATCATTAGATGGTTGTAATTGGAACAGTCCATATGGAAGAAAAATATATTTGAAATATATTTTAAAAATATGCTTCCCAAATATATTGACATATATTTGAAATACTACAATTTTGGCCATATTCAATATATTTCAAAATATATTTCAATAAATAAATATATATATATATATATATATATATATATATATATATATATATATATATATATATATATATATATACACACACACACATACATATACACTGTATATATATTTTCAAATATGCTGTATGTTGAAATGCGTTTTTATTACAAAATATATGAAAAATATTTTTAAAAATACATTTTCAAATATACTGTATGTCTATAAAATTACAAATCTACATTTTTGGAATGAATTTACAAATATATGTAAAAATATATGTTAAAATGACTTTTTTATATGTTAAAACAAACCTGAAGAATATATTTAAAAAAATATATTTTTAAAAACATTTTTCATATATTTTGTAATATATATTTAAATGTGTATTTTATAGATTACAAAATATATGAAAATATTTTTAAAAATATATATTTTTTTAAATATATTCTTCAGATTTGTTTTAGCATATAAAAAAGTCATTTTAACATATATTTTTACATATATTTGTAAATTCATTCCAAAAATGTAGATTTGTACTTTTAAAGATATACAGTATATTTGAAAATGTATTTTTAAAAATATTTTTCATATATTTTGTAATAAAAATACATTTCAACATACAGTGTATATATATATATATATATATATATATTTATTTTTTTTTTTTGTTTCTGGCACCAACAACCATGCCATGTTCAAAGTCACTTAAATACCCTTTCTTCCCCATTCTGATGCATGGTTCGAACTTCAGTGAGTCATCTTCACCACATCTAAATGCAGCTTAAATGCATTGAGTTGCTGCCATGAGATTGGATGATTAGCAGGGGCGAACTGACAACTCATGGGGCCCCCAGGCAAAAGGGGATCATGGGGCCCCTGTGTCCTTGCCCAAACTCAAAAAAGCCTATGAAAAAGGTACCAGGGGCATCTCATGGGGCCCCCTACTGACCCGGGGCCCTCGGTCAGTGCCGGAGTTTCCAAATGGTCAGTCCGCCCATGATGATTAGCAATTTGTGTTACCAAGCAATTAAACAGGTGTTCCCGGAAATCCCAAGCAAGTTTTGAACAGTGGCTCAACCTAGAGAATATTTTGGATTAATGCCATATACTGTGTGTGTGTCCTAAGGATATATAGAAACATTTATACGAAAAGACTAAACTTGTATAGTTGGTTGTGGATACCCAGCAGAATATTTATTTAACACTTTCCAGCTTTACTACAATTAAAGGGACACCAGGGGCGGACTGACAAATCATGGGCCCCCCGGCAATATTGGATCATGGGGCCCCTGTGTCCTCGCCAACACTCAAACCACACCCAAAAAAGCCTATGAAAGGTACCAGGGGCATCTCACGGGATCCCCTACTGACCCCGGGCCCCCAAAAAAGCCTATGAAAGGTACCAGGGGCAATGCCCGGGTTCCCAAATGGTCAGTCCGCCCATGAGGGACACCTATTGGCTACTAAAGAAGCACAAGAATGTTTATTATTATCCAATTCCGGTTTCCATTTTGTTATATAATTATTTACAGTATATATAGTTATATATAGTAATTGCACAACAAAAAACCTGCAAGCAGTTGTTACTGTTAGCATAAGGGAATTCAGTATAATAAACTGATATCATTCATATTTAAACAATTGCGCAATTTAAAGTTTAGTTTTATGAAAAAAAATCAAGACATGTTTAGTCCTTTTGGAATAAGCTAGCTCTTCATTATTTATCCTCCTCCCCAGTTGCAGATAGTCAATTAATTCTGCTCCAATTTCACTCTGTTAAGCTTTCGGAAGCATAAACTTGGAGCTCATAAAGGGCAGCAAGCTCTTTCCCTGCCCCATGTAACAACAGTACTGTTTACCTGAGTTGATTTAGGTGCTGGAACAAGGGAAGTGAGACACATACTATCCTATAAATGGAAGCGCAGGGTATTTGTTTTATCTTTTACATAGCTTAAAGATAAACACATAAAAATGATTTTACAAAGTTGCATTTTCAACTGAATCATGATATTATTATTGATTGCATTGTCTACTTTTTTATTTAAAATAAAAAATAATTCCTGCACTACAAGAAAAAAAACCCCAAAATAATAAATAAATAAAAAAGTGGCAGTGACTGACACCTATGTGTTTTAAATACTTAATGATGATCTTAATCTAAATACTACACCATTGCAGGCTGTTTCTGCTCTCTTGGCATGTAACATCTGAGCACACAGCAATGCCATATGAGTGAGAAACAGCCTTAAAGGGACCTGCACATATTTTTCTGAATGGCAGCTAAGTAGTGTAAAATGGGCACAATAATGGACAGGAGATCCTAGTGACTGTTCTATGAGCATACAGGTGGGCATCTAAGA